TATTTTGAGTAATTCATTTCATCCTGTTGACATATATATTTAAGGATGGACAGGATTTGAAAAAATAGGAAAATTTTATGCAGTATAATACTCTTAAAACTTTCTCATCTCCAAAAATATTTTATTATGAAAAAAATATATAGTTGCTTAAGAGCTGAAGAGAAATGAAGTGGACACTTCAGTATTGTGTTCCTGTGTAATTAGCAGCTCTTCAGCAAAAGTCATAAGAATATATAGATGCTCAATAATATTCTATTATTTAATTTTATTTTTCCTCGAAAATATAATTATGTGAGCAGTACATCATAAAGGTATACATAATTTGAAATTAATGAGCAAAAACAAAATATGCTTCAGTCATATATGGTAAAAATTGACATCATTTATAAGAATTTATATACACCTTTTTTGTTGTTTTTTTTACCACCTAGGTTGATATTTTAATAATATGTAATTTTTACATCCAAAGTCCAAAAATGAGACACTAGCTGTTGGGTTCTTTTTCTTGACCAAAAATTTTGAGCTTTATAATTTAAAAAAAATATGAAAAACCTTTTACAAACATCTTTATGTAAAGTTTTAGGATTTATCTCTCTAAAAAATTTTGTGAGCACATTTCAACAACATGTGCAAATAACACACAGTCCATGGGGAATTTTTGCCCCAATTTTTGAATAAACTATGCAAAATTAACATTATATCATCTTTAACATAATGAAGCACCATCAAATTTTTGGTTAACTGCAATAAATTGTTATATTTTTAGCTCACCTGAGCTGAAAGCTTGAGCTTTTCTGATCATCTGTTGACCGTCCGTAAACTTTTCACATTTTCAACTTCTTTGTAAGAACCACTTGCCCAATTTTAACTAAACTTAGGGCAAAGCATCATTGAGTGAATGAGATTTTAATTTTGAAATGAAGGGCCAAGTTCCCTAACAAGGGGAGATAATCAAGAAAAGACAAAAATAGGATGGAGTCATTAAAATATCTTCTCAAGAACCACTGGACCAGAAAAGCTGAAACTTATGTGAAGGCATCCTGGGGTAGTGTTCATTCTAAATTCTTAAAATCATGACACCCCCCTCCCTCAGGGTGGGGGTGGGGGGTAGGGTGGGGCCACAATATAACTTAAGGGGAAAATCTGTTAAAGAACAGAATGGCCTAATTTACTCAGGTAAGAGATATGGGCCATGGGTCTCTTGTTGAAAGTAGGATTGTTAGTTCATTATATGAATATTACATAATAAGACCTTTCAAAAATCCTTACATCTAACCTGTCAAAATAGTGAATATCATTGTGTTTTTAGAGCAGATCCATTTATTTGCATGTGCATGCTTGAAGACAAGTTTTTACTTGATATTATTATTATTTTTATTCATGATCTTTTTTTTTACCCCCAAAAAAAGAATCTTTAATTTTTTTTTCTAGTTTTTATATTGACATTTAATAACATGACAGACAGACAAACATATCTTAAATTGTATTGATACTCTGCAAAATTTCAATCCCTTATAAAGCATAATGTGTAATAGGTACAATTCAAGTCAATTCTCGAATTATCGCCATTCGATTCATCGCCATTCTCGCAATACCGCCATGATTTCCCTACCTGCTATATAAAATTCTCTTTATAACGCCAAATTCGCAAATACCCTGTTTTCACAACAAACGTCCATTTTTAAGAATATTATATACCGTGTTTTGAAGCGCGGCTAATTGGTTGACACTATCCCTGTTGTAAAGCATGCAAAGGCATTTATTAATTTGAGATTTTAACATGAACTTTATAATAATTTTGTTTTCTTTTAATAAAAATCATTTAGTCAAGCCACATGTTTATTAATTTAGATGAATTGCGATTTGCTGATAATAATATTATTTTAATTAACAATGTTGCCATAAACAATAAATTTATTCAAGAATTCATTTTACTTACTATATCGGCAATATATTACGAAACCCAGCATTTTTTTTTTCAAAACTGCTTTAAATGCACACCAATTTTTTCTTTATTTCATAACTGTTTTGTATATTCGATTAAAAAATTACATGAAGTATTTTCCAGAAATATGTTTTTATTATATACATGTACATGTAATAATAAGAATAGAAACGCTAAATGGTATTTCTAGATATATTTTAAATTTCAATTCATCGTCGTTATACCGCCATGATTTCTAAATTACAAAAGGTGGCTACAATATTACACTTACATTTAGCCATAAAACACATGTTTTCAATAAATAGGATTCATTAGTCTGGAATACTTATAAGATTTTATTGTACATGTATTACGTAAGGTATTTTAGAGATGTAGATACATGTAATTATTGCAGATCACTGCAATCGGCTTATAGCAATTTACAGTGCTTCTTGGAAAAGAAAATTCCAGCATATAAAATGTTATAGTCTTAGATGACACAATACCAATTGCTGTATAAGACTGAATTAAGTGTTTATCCTTCGTCTTCCTGTTTTGTTATACCATCTTCTCATTTTTAGAGGTTATTTAGTGGGATTGTGTAACCTAGGAAAAGCACTTTTTAAAATTATTATTAATTTTTTCCACTTAAGAATTATGTTTTATTAAAAAGAAATTACTCAATTATTATCCTATTTTGTAGGGAAAAGATCATTAAATGGGTGTAAAATTGATGATACGTTTACTCTAATTTTTTTTTTAACTAGCTGCACTTGACAAACTTTCATTTTGTGTGGGTATTTTTGTTTGATTAAGGTGTTTTGGTGCTAAATTGTAACATAATTTCTATGAATTTTATTCTTGTCCTGTAACATTATGTAATGTCTGTGAATTTCTGTAATTAGTATTAAATCTACACTGTTTTGTTTTTGTTTTGTTGGTGATTTTTGTCAATTAAACTAGAAGACGTACTGAATACTTTATTATTTTTTATATCACTCAACATTTTATCAATTTAAATCTGCTGTGTAATAGATTTGATTTAAGAAGTTGTTGTTAAATGTGTAAAATTTAAGATTTTTTTTCCTTATTCCATAAGAATCACATAACTGTATTCAAGAGAGTTAATTGGAACAGCTGGAACAATAATTTTTTTATCCAGGGGTACATTTTTTTTTTCAATGAAGGGACTCTCACACTCAATAAATCAAAAATGAAATTGAAATACCAGAAACTAACTGTGCTGTAACAAAAAATGAGAGGCCAAAGGAAAAGAGCTTTTCTAAAAAAAAATTGTTCATTCAACCTGTCACTTCTTCATTGTTCTATTTAAAAGCCTCTTATTCTCCTGTATATTGTAAAATCACATATTTCTCAAGAGGTCAAATTTTCGAGGTTTAAGGAAATAACATTTTTGTGTGAGGATTTGATTTCGTGATTGGAAAATGTTTAGTAATTTCACATTTCCTGGTGGTCATGCATACATTCATGGGCCTCTCGATAGCTCGAAAACAACTAAAATTAAACATCTTTGAAAGTAAGTGATTTCACAGTATTTAGATATTAAAAGCCTTGAAATTCCAATGGTAGATCATCTCTGAGAACCCAAGATGATCCTAAGCCAATTAGTACCTGAGAGTAGATCATCGTGACCTTATCAGTTGTCATTCTCTTAAGGACCCAATGCAACTGACACAGTTTGATAAATCTAAGCCAAACAGTAGTATAATATTGAATTGTGGCCATAAAATTTTGAAAGTAGGTCAGAGTGACTTTCTTTTCAGTTGACATACCTCAAGGACCCAAGATGCATCAACAGGCAGTTTCATGATTCTAGACCAATTAGAACCTCAAAATATTTAATTGGGTCACAGTGACCTATACTTATCAGTCAATATACATGTACTCTGAATACCCAAGAGGTTTCAACTGAGAAAGTTTGATGATAAGCAAATTGTACCTGGCATGAAATATTTAATTATAGTCATAACATTTCAAAAGTAGCTAGGTCACAGTGACCTATATCTAAGTCGACTTACTCCAAGGACCCGAGACGCATCAACTAACAAAGTTTGAAAATGCCATGACAAATATTATATACAGTGGACCTTCAGATATAGCTATCCGTAAAATTTTTCATCGGAACAGAATTTTTAAATGTTATTATGTGTTGTTTAACTGGTGATTCAGGTATCCGGACGCTTCACATATCCGGACAAATTGACTGGGAACCAAAGCGTCCGGATAAATGAGGGTCCACTGTATTTAGATATAGCTGTAAAATTTCAAAAGAAGGTTAAAGTGACCTACATTCCTGTCAAAAAACTTCCAAGAAAAACGATGAAGTTTGACGATTCTAAGCTAATTAGTAGATTCATTTTGATTGGCTACTCAGGTGAGCCTTGTGTTCCATGGGCCTCCTTTTTTAGAGGATTGGGGCACATTTTCATTCCTCTCATTTATTTATACCAAGTGTCCTTGACCTTTGAGATATGGCCTGAAATCAGGATCTCAATTAACACACCCCACACATAAGGTCCCAAAGAACAACAATCGATTGAATCCATTTCAGTTCTTAAGTAAAGTGCAGATACCATTTCAGTATTCTCATTACCAATTGACCTTGATCCTTGAAATATGAACAAGCATTAAGCTCTGCATACATTTAGGCCATGAACAAGACACATATTCTTGAGAATAACTTCCAGCTGGCTGTTTAAGACAAAAGTTCTCCTCTTTTATTGCCCATTGACCTTCCAGATATTACCTAGATAAAGGTCATGCAGCATCATAATGGTCAAACTCAAATCCAATAAGCATTTGATTAATTTGTAAAGGTTAATTTCTGCAGTTTGCAATTTTCTTCCAATTTAAACTTGGGGAAAATGGGGAGAATACAGATTACTCTAAGTACTTTATTTGCAAAATCAACGTTTAATCAGCATTTAAGAGAATGTAATTTTGTCCATGCTTAAGACTTGTTCTTGATCATTTTTTTTACAATCAGTAATTGTTTCTTTATTAAAAGAGACTTCATTGCCCATTTCCATCATCCAAGCATAAAATAGAAACAATAGACATTTTTAGATATATTTATTTCTTCTTTTATATTTGCAAAGCAGACTACATATAACTTCTCTTTAAAATGTCTAAAAGATGTAACAGTGAAAAATGAAAAAAAAATTAAAATATTGACTGTTTTTGCTAGAAATAGCAAATAGACATGATGAACACCTCCTTGAAGTGACTTCATAAACAGATTCAAAAACAACAGGACATGATTACAAGGTAAGGGGGCCCTTCAGGGACCCTCTGACTTTCAATTTACTTCAATCAGATTACAACAGCACCTTTGTTTAAATGTTTGGATGTTGAAAGAGAAAAATAGAAACATGTAATATATGTTTGAGATTACATTTAGTTATCAGTTGTGAACTCTTGTCTTTGCTTAAATTTGAACAGTGTCTGACTATAACAAGCAAATTGAAAAGAACAAAAAAAATGTTCAAAAAAATGCTGGACTACGTAAGAAAATGAAAAGTATAATATGCTTGTAAATACATTTGTATAAGTATATAACTAAACTGACTATAATACATCTAAAATGAACAAAAGAAAAATGATGAAAGAGGGATTTCTTTACATGAGGTCAGATTAACAAAAAGAGAATCACTGAGATCAAGGATAGTACAATTACCCTAATGCAGCTAAAGAGCTAATGCAAGCAAAGAATATACAGTGGCATATAACAAGGTTCAGAACTCAGTCCTATCTCATTCATTGTTGGTCATTACATAGACAGTTTGAAATACATTCTTTCATTATGTAATTATCTAGTTCTAACTTTATATATGTAGAAAGAAAGATTAAACATGGATATGATATGTGTGTGAATTACTACATGATTTTACGGTCTTTAAATTTCATGGTATTTTATCTATATTGACTTTTATTAGTTCATATTAGATGCTGCAGGAAACTAAATGCATACATATTGCAAATGCTCATTTGCCCACAAAAATATAACAACCTTTTGACAAAATAAAATCAGATTTGCATAATGATACAAACTAAGAAAGCTTCTAAAAATATATCATCTTGTCCATGATAGCAGATACTCTGAGCAAATGCACAGAAGAAAAAAAAATCAAGTTGAAATATCTATTTCAGATATGGAATGAAAAGAATAAAAAAATGAATATAATAAAAATTCTGGGACTACATTGTATCGATACAGCTAATTGGAACCTACATTGTAAATATATGTCAAGGTAGAAAACTGAAAAAAAAAAAAACAATCTTCGCAACCTATCAATGCCTGGGACTATTTCTTCAACAAAAAAGAACAAATCAAAATATGGGTTGGTTAAACCTAGTAGCTTGCAGCCACTAAACCCATAAAAAAATCTTGCAAATTAAAGTAAAAAATTCTTTCATTATCTTTTTTTGATTTCTAATTTTGGTTGTATGCTGAAATAACTGGAAGCCATATTTGTATACTTCTAATTACCTAATCTACTAGAGGGAGAGAGAAAAAACCTGATTATACACAAGTATACACATAAATATTGATACACTGAATTTGGTCTAAACTGTCTTCTCATCAATATATACCTAACACAGTATACAAAAACATTGGACTAAAATAAATGCAACTATGTATATAAAATGAACCTTAGTATGTATAAACAATAATAATACACTACATTCAAAATGTAGCATAAAACAATAACGAATTATTTATAACAACGTCAACATGAAGGATATGTGGCCGAATTTATACGGCAACAAAGGTGGTGGCACCTACAGCACTTAACGAGTCTCTGTCTCGCGAACAACAACAAAGATGCACACCAACACCTAAAACATGCATGAAAAAATGGTAACAAAAATACATCTAAACCTATAGTTCTTGGAAACATAGGAAGTATACACAACGAAACAGCTACACGATTTTCTTCTGAAAATTAATCACTGGCCTCGTTCTGGTCTCCAGTAGAGTCATTTTTTGGCAATGGGGAGGGTGTAATGGAAGAACTGAGAAATTTTGAGGGGGTGAGGGAGGAATCTTTGGATTGAGTGGTCCCCTGAACTGCTGAATGGCCTGTGGCTGGGGATTTGGAGGGGCTGCTTTTCTGCTGCAGTCGAGCTGCTTTCGCTTTGTGGGTCTCCCCCTGGCAGTGCAGTTTATACTCCTGCACTGTGGACCATTTATCTGCACAAAGATAGCATTCGTACTGGATTTGTTCCAGCTTCAGTAGTGGTTGGATATTTTCTGGTACTGTGGGATAGCAAAGGGTCTTCTGGTGAGCTATGCAGGCATCCTTGGCTGGGTACACGGTCTGACATTTCTTACAGATGTACCCCACATCGACAGTCGACTCCCTGGCACAATTATAGTCAACCGAGTTGACCAGCGACTTGAGACTGTTTATGGATTTACAATCCTGTGTGTACTGAGCTACATTGGCTTTTGGGTCTGAGAGTTTGATGCTGACATCTTTGATGGCTTGATGAGGAATTTGTAACAATGACAATGGAGTCCCAAATGTCATGGGATCATACTGCATTAAGTGCTCGGCACCTGCAAATGTAAACGACTCCTTTAAGAAAACGTATAGATGAATCTATGGCTTATGCTTTTATTTTCTAATCCAACAATATAAGAAGTATTGCAATGAAGAGGTAAAATACACAAGCATTAAATACATGATAAATACATGAATAACTTATAACAAACTGATAAAAAAATTGGAAACATTGTGAAAATTTGCAGGTTTGCCACATTTTAAACTATACAAAATAACATTCTTGAATTTTCTTTAATTCAAAATGCATTTATTATAATCTCTTTTCTTTTTTCACATCACTGAAAAGTTTTTTTTTTCACTTTAGATAGCTCATTTTCTTAGGATGTGATGTGTATTCTCTTATTCTCTGTATATTTTATCTTCATCTTCTTTATTCTCTCTTAACCGAAAAAAACTCATTTAATTCTTTACTTTCACTTTAGACGACTGATTTTCTTAGGGGGGATATTCTCTAGATTTTCTTGGTGCTTTCTTTTCTTTGTTTTCTTTTCACACTGACCTGGCATGAATCCTGGGGGCATGAAGGGCATCCCCATTCCAGGTAGGAACCCCGGCATCCCAGGTAACCCCATGAGGGGGTACATGGAGGGGTCCATTCCGGGCAGAAAACCAGCACCGAATGGATTCATAAAGTTGGCAGCAGCAAGCTGGGCGGCCACATCATTTTCCTTGTTGCTACCTGTAAACAGAGAGAAAAATGATCATTTATATTTCATATCAAAGCATGAAAGGAACTAATTTTCTAATTTGTTAGGAACTCATTTAAGGAACTAATGTCCTGGGGTGGAAACAAGGTTCCCATCAATTTTACAAAAATGATACTCTAATTTGCTCTGAAAAAAAGGATATAAAAAATTATGCAAATATTTAAAATGTCATGGTATTGCAAAAATGTTGTATAAACAACACAATTTAAATATTAAGTGTTTACTTATTGTTAGGATATTGATTTTACTTGCCTTGTGATTTAGCATCACTTTCTGCTTCCTTCTTCTCTTTCTTGTCTTTCTTCTCCTTTTTAAAATCTTTAAGGATGTCAGATGGATTGAATCCTGTAAGGAAATTAAAAGAAGATGTTAAAAAAAATGACAAGGCTAGAAAAGGAAAATCTCCAAAGCATTTTGATTAAAACAGATTTTTTTGTATCTACCATTCCCATTTTGATACTTTATGTAACAGCTGAATCACTATGGGTAAAGAATAAAATCTAACCTGGCATCTGGGGCAATCCTAAAGCTCCGAGTCCCATGGCCTGGAGCTGAGCTAGGTGGGGCTGACTGTTAGCCAGGGCTGCAGCCTCGTCCCAAGCTTTCCTCATACGCCCCATCTCCTGGTGCTGGCGGAGGGCATCCGAGGTCGAGGAGGATGTCCCTTGTGCCGTGAGATTGCTTTCCACATCTGATTGAGACTGGATGTACATCTTGACTTTGTCAATATGTTTCTTGGTAAAAATGTGGTCTTGAATGGTATACTTGTGGGAATACTTGAAATGGCAAAGAGTACATTCTTCTGGAGGCTTGGGAAAATCTAATTCAGCACTATAGCCCTTGTTCATGGTTAATTTGGCCTTCTTCTCTTTGGCTCTGGCGTTCTGGAACCACACTTGGACCACTCGCTTTGGCAGGCCAATTTCACGTCCAAGCATTTCACACTCTGCCATGGTAGGGGTCTTGTAGTCAACAAAGATGCTTTTCATTATTCGTACTTGTACACTTGTCATTTGAGTTCGGTATCTCTTTCCTTGAATTGCTGAATGTCCCAGTGGAGAGGAGGAACGACTGGTCGAGATATTGTAAGAATCATCGTTCTCATTGTTAGAACAGGTCTCAGAAATGGAATCATTGAAGCTTTTGTTTGAGATATTATGATCTTCAAAGCTCCTCTCACTAATGTCTGTAGACGGTCCATCTGAATGTTTGTCATGGTCAGTGTTTACTTTCAATGGTTTACTCAGATCTAAAGGTGCCTCAGATCCACCATTGCTGGACTTGTTGTTAGCACTATTTGTTTTTGAAGAGACAGGAGTTTCATATTCCTTTTCTCTCTCATTATGGTCCTTGGGAGTGCTGGTCAGATCACTCATATATTTCTTGTAAGAGTCTTCATAAAACTGTTTCATGGACATCTGCAGCTGGTCATTGAATGAGAGTCCAGGCATAAAAGACTGCATGCCATGAGGAGACAGAAGCTTACTCATGTCTGATGGTGACGTCATCAATGATCCAAATCCCTGGGAACCTGGAGGCTCTATGGCTGCATCAGGAAGGTTGTCCACATTAATGTCACCTTTGGCCATTTCTTCTGGATGCTTGGTGGCCAAGTGAGATTCCAGAGCTGACTTAGCCCTAAACAGTGCTCTGCAGAAAGGGCATCTCTTATGGATAAGCTGCTGGTGTGCTCTGTACTGTCCTTTTCTTTCCCTTGCTCTTGTATTCTGGAACCATACTTGAACAACACGTTTCTTCAGACCCACTTCTGCAGAAATAGTCTCTAGCTGCTTTCTACTTGGGTTGCAGTCAACTTGGTATTTCTGATACAAGTAGTCTAGCTGTTCTGGTAGGATTGTAGTTCTAAGTCGCTTATCTCTTGGCTGGTCATCATCATCATCAAACTTGTCTTCAAAGCTGTCATTGAGTTTCCTCTTCATCAGATTCTTGCTCTCCTGTTGTTGTGCTGCAGCCATAGACTGGAGGACTCCAAATGCGCTGTTAGATGGCAGATTACCAAACAAGCCTGGGTTCATAGCATGTACAGCCTGGTGCTCCTGCCAGTGTTCTAGTCCATCAAAGGAGAGGTGACATTTTTCACATTTGAATTTTATTTTGCTTAATTGGTCTTTATCACCTGAGCCAGACACATCATGAGAGTTGGTGGATGCTGTTTCATCATTGAAATCATCCCTTGACAGAGTAGACAAGGAGTCACTGTCTTCTTCCATTCCTCCATGCAGAGGCATCTGGATCTTTTCAGAATCCAATCCACATTGCTTCTTTTGGTGCCGAATCAGGTCATAGTAGCGCTGGAAAACAGCTGAGCACTTTTTACATTGGTAATTTAACCCTGCAGTTCTCTGGAATGGAGAGTTGGAGTTGACATTGGGTGATTCTTTAGTACTAGTTTCTGGTGGAGGCTGATTTTCATAAATTTTTCTGGCCTTCTGTCTAGCATTTTGAAACCAGACTACAATAACTCTTGGACTAAGGTTGAGAACTTGTGACAAATGGTCCAACTCATCATCTTTGGGGTAAGCATTTTGTTCAAAGTATTCCTGGAGAACTTTAATTTGGTAGTCGGTAAATCTTGTGCGGTTTGCCCGCTTTGCGTATCCACTGTGGTATGGTGTTGGTTCAAACCTTGGTCTGATGTCGTCCCCTGAGCCAGAAGTCATCATGAAGGGTGGCATGTGGTTTGATGTGGATGGGATGGAAGAGGCAGCTGACATGTTGGAATAATCATTATCACTCAAGTCGGGAGACTCGCGATGAGAAGTGTCAAGCTTCAAAGGGGACTGATCAATGACTTTTTCTTTGAACATGCTTTGTTGTTGTTGTAGTTGCTGTTTAAGTTGCTGAAGATGCTGCTGCTGTTGTTGCTGAAGTTGCTGTATTTGTTTTTGGAAATCCTGATGTTGCTGCTGCGGAGAAAACTGAGTCACTGTGGGGGTGTCAGGTTTGGTAACCTCCTTCTTAACTTGGATTTCTTCAGATTCTTTCTCAATGATGGGTTTACTGGTAACCTCCTGTGACTTCTCCTCAATGGTCTGTGGGATCTTTCCTGTTTTTTCATACTCTTCAAGATCCAGTGTTGTCATTGGGGGGTTGTTGAAATTGTATGGTGAATCTTTGTTTCTTTGTCTCTCTTTGAAGAGTGTGTTTCTGAACCAGTGTTTTATCACTTTTTGTGGTAGTCCAGATTGCTCAGACATTGCATTAATTTGCTCTTCACTGGGAGAATTGTTAATGTCAAAGTGTGCTCTAAGGATCTTCAGTTGCTCATCATTTATTCTGGTTCTAGCTCGCTTCTGGTTCAGAGCTGCTTGCTGAGCAGCAATTTGAGCAGCTTGAGCGGCTTGTTGCTGTTTTGGCATTGCTTGTTCAGCCATAGATGTGGGAGTTGTAGGCATATTGCCCTCTCCTACCAGGGGACCAAACATCATAGGCATCAGAGGAGGCTGTATATTCATAGCCATGGCCATACTTAGAGGAACAGGCATTGGCATTCCAAGTCCAAACATTGGCATCATTTGAGCTGCCATATCTAATTGAGCAGGGCTGACCTGAGGAACAGATGAAGATGGAGGTGGGGGTGGTGGCATTTCAGAATTGGACTCCATTGTTGGTGTTGGGGTTTCACTTGCACGGTTGGACATAGAGTCAGATGGTGCAGGGGATGGGTCTTTTTCCAATTCTTTTGGCTGTTTTTTCTCATAGTCTGTCTTGAATTGTTCTCCTAGATTTTCCACAAAATTAATAGGAACTACTTCTTTGTGAACTTCCTCTTGGTGTGATTTGAGCACCCAAACACTGGAAAATTCTTTCTTGCATGTGACACATACACTTTTGTTGAGTTCAGGCAGATCATTATTTTCGACTTTCTCTGGTTTTTCTACTTCTTTCTTTTCCTCTTTTTCAGATTCTACCTTAGGTTCCCCTTCACCTTCTTCCTCCTCATCCTCTTCATCCATTACTTCTCTCTTAACTGAGGGTTGATTAAATTCATTAAATTGCATTACACATTCAAAGCCAATATTTTCCAACAAATTTTTCTGTACTTGTGTCTTTCTCCCTAGGAAATTCATACTCCTTGGTCGATTTTGGGAGGCAATGCTTCCAGGTTGATACAAGCACATCATTTGATGTTGTGCTAGATTCTCCTGGTTGATGAACACAGCATTACAACGGTTGCACAGGTAAGTTGACTTGAGAGACTTTGCATCATCAACACCGTCTACTTTTGGCTGCTCCTGCTTCACATCAACTGCCTCCTCAACATCCCTGCTGGTCTTGGATTTGGATGAAGAAGTCTGCCCAGGAGACTGTGATGATCTGGTTAATTCAGAAAGTGTAGCAGGCGCAGACAATCCAGGCAACATATTCAACTGTGTCATGGCTGGGATTCCAGAGGTAATGCCTGGAAACAAGAGAGATGGTTGTGAAACTGCACTGGTGGCTGCCAAGATCTGGTGAGGTTGTAGCATTTCTGCCAATAGTTTCTGCTGCTGTGACTTGGGTACATCATTGGGTTGTTCAATCAATGGCTGACTCAGATCTATCTGTCCAGACAAGATGAGTTCTGGTAGCTTAGCTGCCGTGGACTGGTGTCCTACTGACCGTATATGAATGTCCAGTGTGGAGCCTTGACTATAGGAAACTTTACAAATGTTACACTTGTACAGTTTGTTCTTGTCATCAGCACTGGGTTGGGGCTGCGTCTCGGATGAAGGGGTTGGTGTTGTAGTTGTTGAGGTTGTGTCATTGCTTGGAGGAGAGAGGGGGCCTTCCCCTTGCTGTAGAGCTTGCTTAACTTTGTGAAGATGAGATACTGAGTTATAATGAACCACCAGGATATTTTTCTGCGTAAAGGATTCCTTACAGACATCACACTTGAATGGTCGATTGGGATCCAGGTATTTTTCCATGGGATAACTCATCTTGTCTCCTTTTCGGTGAAGAAGAGTCTTGTTATGAGCAGTCAGGTAATTTTGTTTTGTAAATGCAACTTTGCATCTGTGGCATTTAAATTTCCTGCTGGGGTCTTCATATCCACCTTCAGCTATTGCTTGACTGTTCATGTAATCTTCCAGGAATTGCTGGTCCTTGTATTCACTGCTGTCACTAGTGTCCATCATTTCCAGTTTCTTTTCAGAATCAGTTGGTGAAGATGTTTCTGCTCGATCTGATTTTTCTTGTGTCTCATTGGAATTCAAATCGGTTTTGGCTGCCTCACTTGTATTTTCTGAGGAAGTTGAGCAGACAAGTGAGGATTTGGTAGAATCAGCAGAGATGGAATTTTCACCTCTGTTTGCTGAGGATGCACTGGTCAAAAGTTTTTCCATCCCTGAGCTGGACAAGATCTCCACCAAAGCTTCTGAATTTTCACTCATGGTTTCCAAGTAATTCTTTTTGTCCGATTCCTCCACTTCTGTGTGTCCTGCCTCTACATGCTTTCTCAGAGCAGCAACAGAACTAAATGACTGACCACAGTAATTGCACTTTGTGGCTGCACGGATGAGATGATAATGAGAGTGAAGTTGAAGTTTTTCTTGGTTTTTGAATGCTAGGCTGCACTGGGTACACTTGTACTTGTAAATGTGGCGATCAGATGCTGACAAAGTTTGGCATTTGGCATGGATTTCTCTGAAATGAACCTGAAGTGCTTGAGCTGTTTTGAAATACTGATTACATCCTTTTTTCCAACAAAGATATCCTGGTCCCCTGGGTGTTTGCTTGAGCTCTAAATGTCCAAGTTCATTTTGATGAGCATATAGTCCATCAATGTTGTTGAAGGTTTTGGAGCAAGTCTGGCAGCGATACTGATCTTCCACCTCTCCTACCTCTGTGAAATTGGAGATATCAATAGCTGAAAAATAAAATAAAACTTCATTTACATTTAAAGAACACCTGATGAACCTGTAGTGTAAAGTATTCTGACCCAATTAATCTGTAGTGATAATAGTATAATTACATGTTACTACTAAGATGTGAGTCATCTCACATCTCTCCTTGACATTAACTTGAAATAAATGTTTACCCTCTTCAGCCTCTAACTTAGCAGCCTCTTCTTCCATGACTTCCAGATTAATTTCCTCTGATCCATCCACTGGAATGTTGGCTATTGGAACGATAGCGTTTTGATTGGCTGGAGGACTGACCACAGACGATGGCATCCAGTCCCCTTTATCCACCATCATCAGAAGACGCTGCAGTCCCTCTGCTTTCACGCTATGGGTGGACATCAGGTGGCGCTCCAGTCTAGATTTGTCCTTGAACTCCTCCTGACACAGGGGACAGAGGACAGTGTGTGAGCGATGGGTGTGCTGGGTGACAATGTGACCTTGAATCCTCATCTCGCTAGCACTACTGTAGTCACAGTATGGGCAAACATGTATCTGTTCCTCATTATGAACATTGGAGTTGGTGGAACCTGGAAAAATAAGTGAAGACATTCAAATATACTTTTCTAAATAAGTACTTAATTGCATAATGAAAATGTCATACATGATAAGTGTGTTTTCCTGTGGTTTATCAAAAAAGTCCTTCAAAATTTAATTAAAATTCACACCTGCCTCTATTACAGTCAATCTAGCATTCCTTAATCACAAACCGTTCTGCACGTTTCAGATGTACTTGTACCTACTTTTCTTTTTTGACTATTATGTTGACCCATGTAAGAGTTGTTTGTCCTTACCGGTGTTGTTGTTGTTGTTGAGTGGCCCTCCCTTGGAGATTGGGGGCAGGGTGGTGGGGGTGAACATCCCGGCCGGAAGGTCACTGTGCTTGTCTGGCAGCTCAGTTTCTGTCACCATGCTGCTTTCATCTAACTCTTCACCATCTGACAAAGAAAAAGAAAATACACTTCAAATTAAGTGCTCCAAATTTTCACACACTACAGAAAGTGTTACATCATTGTAGTACTTATCATTATTAATAAACGCTTGTAAATTTTTTTTCTTATCCTTCGATTTTAAACATTTCTGTGTCTCTACTTGCTTGATGTACATCCCACCAGATATATTAAATGATACGATTTTGGATGCCGATAAAAGAGAAGAATCCTGCCATTTTGACTTCAACAGCCAGTGACATAAAACAGCAAATGCCCTGTAAATTAGTGCAAACCACTCCAGCAGTAACAAAGAATTTGCTGTTCTCATCTAAATATACTGCATCATGCACAAATCCCACATCCCATTAATTCTCAAGTATTCCTCATAATCTTAAGACTTCATCTCACTAATTTAACCTGTTGGTGACCTCTCTGCTTATTACATTCAGTTATATCAGCTTCTGCCGAGAGACAGTTTATACATTCCAGTATTCACAGATTTCACACAAAACTATAAAACTGTAATGGAAAGAAAAATAAAACAACAAAAAAGACCCCCCAAAAAATCACACACACTGTGACAAACACCTCTAAAAAAAACAGGGAATCTCTATCACTGCAGCTAGAAGACAATCACTCGAGAATGGAGAAGGAAGAAAGCAATATCATAATATAAAAAGTAAGGTTGCTGTACACGATGAATCTGTGTAAGATATGATGCCTCTCTTCCAATCTTTGTGATATATATGACAGTCAGACTAATTAAGTCTTGAGGAATACTAGCAATCAATGCAAATAATTGTTAGGAAACTAATTGGGCAATGCTTAATGACCTTGGAGATCTAATGACCCTTAATACTTTAAGGTATAGGGATAATTAATCTAAGCTGCAAAGTCACAGGTGCCCTGTTGGGTACTAAGCTAATTAGCTAAAAAGGGCAGCTTTAATTTTCAAGGAAAAGCTCAATAATTAATTAATGAAATTCTTTGTATTTTTTGTATCCTTGTTCTTCGTTAAGTAATTCTTAGAAATCCCAGCTTAGAAACAAACTTAAGTATATGGATAAGGATGAAAATAATTTCACAAAAACTTATAAATATCATGTTAAATGAAAGGTACGAGTGTTTTTCATACAAAGTTTTCCATAGAAAACCAGTGACTGTGTTTAATTACACTTATTTTCACCTGTTTCTACCACACATGCCAGGTAACTTTAAACCTGGGCTTTTATCAAGACACCCCAAATTATCATTTACGACGGAGAGGGGGGAATTTTTATTGTGCCAGTGCAGAACAAAAGAATATAGAAATCTGAGCTATATTACTTTTAACAGGAAAAACCAAATTAAAGTTTAACGCTCTGATTAGTCTTAATTTCCTTACTTAAAGATGATCCACTAAATGCTAATTCATCAGTTGGGGAACAATATGCTGTATGTTTGATAACATCTCTACATACATGGACTAAAACTGACGTCAAGTTACATGTTATCACATTCCTACAAATGTAGCAAACAATCTCCGTTGCATCGGGTTGTGCATAAAAATGTGTATTGTTTTGATTTTTTTCCCCATCTCATTTAAAAACGCACTTCAGCTTTAAGAAGCATTCCTACTTTGAACCATAGGTCAGATGAAAATGTAACTCGAACCCTACTCATTAAATATAATGAACAGTCAGGGATATCTTTGTCTGGCTCAAACATTTTCTTTTTCAAATAACAAAAAAATTAGGACAACCAAGCAATTTGAAAGCAAAGACAACACAAAAATATTTCAATGTGCCTCAAACCTCAGAAAAAAATGTCACTGAAATAGGGGGCTGGAATGTGATATTGCTTATCTATATATTTTTCAATGTGTAATACACCGTCAGTGTTTTAGACGGAGGTTAAACACAGCTGTGGATTTCATCAAGTTTGCTGGTCTAATCTCTTTAATTAGCTGCCACACCATCTTATCTAGCTCCCTCTAACCCCCCACTTATCCCCCCAGATTAATAAGCACACTGCCTTGTGAACTACTGTGCGATATGATACGATGATAATTCACACATTAATTGCTACAACAGAAGCTATTGACTCCCGTCGCTGCTAGCCAGACAGGGTTGGTACAAGTGTCCAGTGTCTGTTCTATGTCAGTCCACAAGGAAACTTCTACAAGACATTCCGTAAGACGCCAAGCTCTCTCACACATGGGACAAACATAAGGCACCAAAGAAATTTCAATTCCAAAAATAAAAAATCTTATGAAGTTCATTTGCATTTTTTCCACTCATAAACAAATTTTCTGAATCACATGGGTGTTATCAATTTTATGGGTATTTAACATGCACCATCAGGATTACTGAATGTTAATGATATTTTACTAAAGTTCCTCCTTTTTAAAAATAAATTCATTTTTGAACTTCTATTTTTCTCCCTCTTGATGCCCCATTCAGGTTTGTTAAGTATGCATCAAAATTTTCTATATAAAAAGTCTTGATATTCACGATCAGGTTGATGATAAAGGCAGATAATTACATACTCCCGACATAAATAAAACAGAGGTGAAATTGATGTTTCATGGGGGCCTCCACAGGATTATATGATGAATTGAGAAAAATATCACCCATGAAACAAAAAAAATGATGAAAACATGACATATTGAAAAGCATGACCATGAGATTCCATAACGTGAAAGAAAATATCACAGTCAGCATAAAGAAGAAGAAAAAAAAAACATAATTGTGAAGCAGATGTTAAAAGTAATTAAATACCTGATGAAGACTCTGGTTTCAAACTACATGGACAATAGCTTATTTCTGGCAAAATAATTTTTTTCTTTTCCTGATTTTTCCTGGCTGTCGTTAATTTGTTGGTGGCATGTCTCCGACATTATTAGAACACAAAAAAGCCTGCTTCCTTCTCTCCAGTCTAAATCTTAATTATTTAGAGAACAATTAACACCCCACACTGGACAATGGTGACCAATTAGGACCAGTCACAGGCTTACTCAACCCCTAAAGATTAGGTCACAGTATAATAGGACAAGGCTTCAGGCTTATCAACTAATTGTACCATGGCAACAAATCAGGGAGTTTAATTAACGGGGAGAATTAAGTTTTGTCTGTGCTATAGCAGTGTCCATGGTCCACCCACTGGGACAGCACTTTGTGTGGTATCACACTAGCTGATCTAAAACACCCCAGGTCTCATTCTGAAACAAGGGCCAGAGAGTCTAAAGACATTAACAGGGGTCAAAATAATCTCACACGTTTCTCTCTAATGACCTAGGTACATAACTTTATCAAAAGATGTAATCTCTGAACTGGACAGTGATTTGTACAACTTTTACATAGTGGTATACAAATTGTTAACATGAAAAAAAAAGTGGCCAAAAAAATAATAATTATAAGAGCTTGGCTTTGACAATCAAATGCTTCAACAAATGCTGCTTCATAATCTCCATTATATGAAACATGAAAATAAAAAAAAAAAAATCATCAAGATGAGCCCTGCACAGTTTGCTGATTATATGACTGTGATTTTATAATTAACTTTCCCAGACAATTCTTATTGATTTTTGCAAAGAAAAGAAAATTATTTGTGTGTCCTAGCTATTATGAATGTGTAGAGGATTGAGGCCTGGAGTCTTCAGCAGATATAGAAATGGATTTGCTCTCATAATGTACAGGGTTTATTCAATTTATACTCTGTATGACAATCAAGGGCCAAATGATGATGAATGCTTTCTGGATGACTTTCTGCACAATAAAAAAAAGTTGGCAATCAACTTTTTTTTCATCAGTGAGAATTTTTTCATCTAATCCTTTTTTTTCCCTCTTTGAATGAATTATTAAACAAGGAGAAAAAAAACTTATTAAACCTTACTGTATAAATTCAAAGCATGGAGACATCCTTATAATGATTATAATTAAAACAAGAGTTACTTCCCTTCACCTAATCCCCCCTCTACTTTTGCTGCAGTCTCTAGTTTTCTTTGAATGCATTTACGCCTTGGTTAAGAGGGATTTTAAAGCATATGTGCTTTCAGTGAAATTGTCAGCTCATTATTAATGACAAAATACATTTGCAATAAGCATTTCCAATCAGGCAAATTAATCATACAGTTAGCAAAGGCATCTATAGAAAACAGAATTTGTCTTGATGAATGGCTTGCAGACATTCCAGTGGCCGTTCAGTGCTGGAGCCAATTTTTAAACTTCTTTGTGAGATTAATCAATCTTGTGCATAGAGTCAGTGAATACAAAATAATTAAGATCAGATGACACTTTCATTAGTGACTGGAATTTAAGGAGTGCTGCAGTTTTTTTTTAAGAAGGGTTTTCTTATTAGATAGGGAGGCTTGGGAAAAACTTAAAACTTATAAATACAGACTCTTAATTACATTACCATATGGTGTATGTATTCCGCTGATTAGCCTGATAGCAGGTTTCACACAATCTCTGTCTGTTGATTATAACTTGGCCATCGATAAAAAAATTCATATCTATCTGTCTATCTTAACATGGTTTATATGTGTAATTTTTTTTTTCTTGAAATCTTTCCCAGCAAGATTAACAAATCCATATATCATGATAAAAATACAGAAAAATAATACAAAGTTCATAATTGAGAGAGAGAGAAGCATTGAAGAGATAGAGAGAAGGAGGAGAGATGTACCTGCTGTTGAAATGCCAATGCTCCCGACTCGACCGATGTGACATATCATTTCTCAAACACTCACTGTTTAGGAACTGATTCTCTTAAATATTCCAAAAGTTGTTATAATTCCGGATACTGTTTACAAGAGTTAAATCTTTTTCTTCCTCACCATTACACTCTATATATCCACTTCAAATTAACATACGTAATCGACATTAACTACTTGATTGTATTAACTCACAATCCTTCAGCATGTTTCAGAATGTGTGATTTCACCCATTAAGTGCTTTCCTCTACCTCGTACCATTAAAAGATTCATTTACAAATCTATAAGACAGACAAGGTATTAAATTGTTTTG